CCCGTTTAGGGTTTAGGGTTAAGGGTTAAGGGTTTATGGTTTATGGTTTGGGGTGGGCCCCAACTAGGTTCAGCGATCACTCGCTGGTATTCTCCACTTTGGCGGAGCCAGGTGACCATCGCATCGCGGGCGAGCAGATGCAATTTCTTAGCAGTAAAGTAGGCAACAACCTTAAGCCTTTTGGGACTTTAGCCTTTTAGCTCCCTCAGGATACTGGACAATTAAGATGTGTTACAACATGTCTTCTGTTCGCTGAAGATGAGAGGTTGGGGCGCTCAGCAGAAAAGTCAAGGGCTAGGGTTCAAGCTCATGAGCTGCTGAACAAGAATGGTCATGAACGCCCCAAGCCCTAAACACAAGGCCCTAAACCACGGCGGATGCTTGCAAAGAAGGTTCATGGTACTTATTAAGCCAATAATAGCTGTACTTACCCAACTTAAGCCATATTCGGGCACTTGAGGACCTTATAAGTGGGTCACAAGTACAGTTATTTAGGTAAATAAGTACCATGAACCTCCAAGTAGGGCTTAAGGTGCCAGCACCACCCTTCTAACAAAGTTGACCATTGCGTCTGCTCGCGAAGAGCACTGCCTGCCGCCCAGCAACAGGGTGCATCTCCCGGAGCCCCACCCATAGCAAAGTTGCACAACAAAAAAACGTTTAGGGTTTAGGGTTTAGGGTTTAGGGTTAAGGTTTAGGGTTTAGGGTTTAGGGTTTAGGGTTTAGGGTTTAGGGTTTAGGGTTTAGGGTTTAGCAAGCCTGCACATTAAAAAAAACAGGGTAAATACACCTAGTACTTTCAGAGAAGTACATGCACTTCCCTTAATCCTATATGGCCCTTATAAGGAAGAAGAATCCCCCCTATGGCCCTTTCAAGGAGGAATATTTCCTGGGGTGGCTCTTAAGCAAAGAGTAGCAGTGATGCTCAACCCTACACCCTACACCTAAACCCTAAACCCTAAACCCTAAACCCTATTTTGGAAGGGTTGGTGGCCATCCAGGGAGGTGCACCCGTCGGGCGGACAACCAGTGATTTATTAGTGACATACCAAATTGTTTAGGGTTTAGGGTTTAGGGTTTAGGTTCTGTTGAAATACAAAACCTCTTGCCTGTAGGAGCAGAAAGGAAAGGCTAAATGATGTGTTTGCAATGCTTACGCATTTGTCAAGTTTTTTTGGCTCTGAGCATTGTCCAGCAGCCTCGCTCTGGGGAGGGTTGGTCCAAACCAAGGGTTTAGGGTTTAGGGTTTAGGGTTTAGGGTTTAGGGTGTTTCAATGAGTGGGCGCGCTGGTGCTGAAAGCACCCGGGCGCGCGCCCCGATTTGCCTAAGCCCACCCCCGCTGGCGCTCCACCCTCGCCTTAACCTCTACGGGTTTAGGGTTCTTTTGAACTCTGATCGTGCTTTTGTTATTTTTCTCTTGTCTATTGGTTGGGTTTAGAGATTCTGATGCAGATCACCTACCCTGAAGCTCGCAACCCCTAGGCATTGCAAGGGAGATGTCTATCAGTCGAGGGCTGCTGGGAGAGCCAAAAGTCAGAGGTTTGGGGTTGGGGTTGGCTACCGCCTTCGCCCTCGGCGATGCGTGTTGGGCGGGGATTTGGAAAACTTGCTTGGAAGGGCGTGAAATCAGAAGTTTGGGCTTTCGCCGCTTTCGCCATGCTGATGCTGCATCTTTTATTGTTTTTGTCTTTTCGAATGGTTGTTGGGCTTAGATGTCCATCATTCGAGGCGAGGCTCCTCTGGGAGAGGCCCGGGAGACCTCCCAAAAGCAGGTTGCCATGTTTTGTCCGAAGGTTGGGGTATCTCATTCTAGGGCGACCTGACGGGTTTCTCGCCAGCGACCTGCCGGGTCCACCGCGCAGCCCGCAGCTGCCTGCGGGACTGGAGCTCCGTCGCCCGCCGGAGGGCTTCTGGCTCCGGCGGCTTCGGTGCGTTCGCCCTGCTCGACGGCCCCGGCCTCACTCAGTTTAGGGTTTTAGGGTACAGCCCTGAACCCTCCACTAGGAGCAATAGCCCCAAATCCTTAACTTTAAAGCCTGGCTCCACTCAAGCGGACCAACCATCCAACTTTCCAGAGACAGCACAGTACGTCGACTTCCCCAAATTGCAGAGCTCCTTTCCTTAGTAAGTCTTTGGCTCATGCTTTAGGGCCTATGGGGGCCTGAGCGATTAGAATGGGTATTTCGAGCAAGTATATGTGTATATATATATATATGTATATTTGTCTACAAAGGAAGGAGTTATAAGGGAATGGTATTGGTACGAGCTTGTTCTGGCTCCTACATAGTTTCTCACATTGCACCAACCATGAATACATGCACATATACATATATATGTATATATACATATGTGTATGTGTATATATATATGGCTTTTAATTTATATTTATTTAATTCTTAGGTCGATACCTACTTGCGAGTATATCTATATCTATATATATATGTATATATATATATATGTCATATGTCTATATATATATATGTATGTATGTATGTATATATATATATATGCATATGTACAATACAGCACGGAATCTTGGTATCCCCACAAGGAACTCCAATGGGGTCCGACCTCCGCCTTTTTCAATTCCACGTCGATCATTTCCGGACCCCCTGACGAGACGACGCTCCAGGAGGGACTGGCTCATCGACACTGTCCAAAATCGAGGGAGCCCAGCATTCAGGGCCTAGGGTTTAGGGTTCAGGGTTCAGGGTTTAGGGTTTAGGGATTTTGGGCTTAGGGGCTTAGGGCTTAGGGATTTAGGGTTCAGGGGCTCAGGGACTTAGGGTACAGGGACGTAGAGTTGAGGGGCTTAGGGACTTAGGGGTTTAGGGACTTAGGGACTTAGGAGTTCAGGGGCTCAGGGTTGAGGGCTTCTAGGAAGTCCAGCGTTTGCCCTCTTACCGTTCTCTGTTTAGGGTTTAATTAGGGTTTAGGGTTTAGGGTTTAGGGTTTAGGGTTTAGGGTTTAGGGTTTAGGGTTTAGGGCCTAGGGTTTAGGGTTTAGGGGCTTCTGTTCAAAACGCCCACCTGCAGAATGGGCAACCTTAGTGCACGACGAGTACTGGGCGACCTCGCAAAATCGATCTCAACTGTGAGCTGCAGTCAGTAAACGGGAACACTGCGCATAATACGTAATGTTTTTATGGGGAATTCAGTGTGGATGTGTGTTCGTGTGCACATACAATGTGTGACTCGGGCACGCATGTCAAATGTGAGTATGAATATATATATATATATACATACATATACATATACATATACATATACATATACATATACATATACATATACATATACATATACATATACATATACATATACATATACATATACATATACATATACATATACATATACATATACATATACATAGACACATATATCAACACACACACACACACACACACTCCTATGCTTGTATTCAAGAGATAGGGAGAGGGAGAGAGAGAGAGAGCGAGATAGAGATAAAAACAAACGAGAGAGAAAAATAGAGAGAGAGAGAGAGGCTGGGAGAGAGCAGGCGGGAAAGGCAGAGACAGAGACCGGGACAGAGACGGCTAGAGAGAGACAGGAGGAGAGAGAAGCAGAGAGGAAACAACTCACGTGCACACAGAGGGTTTAGGGTTTAGGGTTTAGGGTTTACAAGGTCTGAGGTAGCAGGGTTCTATGGGGCAGCCAGTTTGCAGTGACACAGGACTTCATTCTTGGGGCCAGTTTAATTGTGCCCCATATTTTCGTGCATCGGCATCTACTGTGATCATCGATGCGCAAACCGACAGTTGCCAATGCTCAGGCCGATTGTTTCTTCAGTCGGGCCTGACATTGGCTTGCGCGTTCCTTCTTTGACAACTTAGAGCGTGAGACACCGAACGCCACACATCTTGCTGGTTCGCAAGAGGGACTTCTTGTGAAGTATGAAGCCGAGGGGTGTCGGAAAAGAGATATATCTATACCTACGTATATACGTATATGTATATGCATATACAGACATGCGTAGTGTGAGACGTAAGGGCGCGCCTGATTGGTTAAGTCCCCACCAGTAACAGAATTCTCCTGCATGTGACGGACAGACCTTGACCTTTCCCGCGGTCAGGCTCAAAAGCGCAGGGCAGAGAGGGATTAGGGTTTAGGGTTTAGGGTTTAGGGTTAGGGTTTAGGGGTTCAAATTTGGAGAGTCTGCGATGGTAATCTACTATTTGCTTTACGAACCCCCCCATAAAGTGAAAGATAAAAATATCCCTCAACAGTATCATTTATTTTTTTATTTAAATTAAAATACAATAATGTTAATATAATGTATACATATATTGGATATTGATAAACTGTATTGCTAATGGAAACGTTTAAACGTGATAATCTCCTTCCTTTATAAGGAGGATTATTGTGTGCATTTTTTGGGGGGGGAGCTGTTAGGCAGGCATGGGGCCGCTCAGGACTACACGCCTTTCCTGAGGTCCTCACACCCTAAACCCTAAACCCTGAACCCTAAAACTCATTCCGTACCTGCGGAATTTATTCTCTGGAGCTTCTTACATAAGCCCCGGACCCTAAATCCTAGAGTTGTTGGTCTTCGGGATCTCCATGCACTGGTGAGGTCGAACTTGGGCTAGCAACTTATGCGCCTGCAATGGGTTCGTGGTTTAGACACTCAGCGAGGATGCTCCAGCAGCATTCCTATTCCCATTTCTCAAGGCTTAGAAAACGGTTTAGGGTTTAGGCTTTAGGGTTAGGCGTGCATTCTCAAGTTACTTAGCAGCGCAATCAGAATAGGGCCCTAAACTCTGAACCCTGCCTGAAGCTGTAGTTAGAGGGTATGTGCATACATTAAGCATTAGGGTTTTAACGGCCTCACACGAATCGCCGACGCTCTGTTGATGTAGCATCAAGGTTTAGCATTCAAACCGCGTAGCCCGAACACCTGAACCCTTAAAACACACACACACACACAAGTCCAGATCCCAACTCGCTAAACGTCTTGATTGCAAGCTTGGACAGAGGTCCAATGACGGTGGATACGGGTGCAAGCGCTCAGGCTTTGTGCATGAGTTGGGCGAACAATCAATGGTGTTAGGGTCTAGGGTCCAGGGCAGCAGTTGCAATCCGGAGTTGCCATACCCTTGAGATCCCTTGACTGTGAACCTAATCGCCTTCTGCAATCCCTTAGTGTGTAATGTATATAGGTAGGAGACATACATGTCCCAAGTTCCCTAGTGTAAGAACTGGCTACTACAAATAATCGATCTCGGAAGTTGAAGCTTTAGGTTTCAGGGCAAATTTAGCGCTCAAAGGTTTGCAAGTTAGCGTTTCGGCCTTTGGGTCTTTACCCCGCTTCGTGCATACGCTCTGTACGTTGCTTCTTTACAAACGCATGAGCATAGTTCACGAATATCTCAAAACCCTAAACCCTAAACCCTAAACCATCCAGTCCAAAGCTTTTTTTTCGGTAGTTTCCAGAAACATGGTTCGCCTGTATGCTCCCTAAGGGCCCACGTACCCAAAGAGTACAGACTTGAGCCTTGCATGGATTCTCATACTTTAGAACCCAAGCATATACCCTAAACCCTAAACTCTAAGCCCTAAACCCTAAACCCTAAACCATATACTATATGGGCAGATAGACCTTGAAAACTCCTCCTTAAAGGAGACCCCCGTAAGGGATAGAAGGAGGGACTCCTGGAAGGGATCCGTAGTCTTATTCCCCTATATATCCTCTATATAAACAAAAGAATAAATACACAAATGAAAACATAATTAATATATAAACATTGATGTCAATGTAAATATAAATATAAACATATATATATATATACATATACATGTGGTCACCCCCCCCAAGACCTACCTCTCAGTTTCCTGCCATTCTATCTCTATATGCATTCGCACATTGCTGTTGCTTGAGGCCTCTTGAAAACACCGTAAATGCCGTTTATTCTCGTCTTCGACAAGAGTACGTTAGTTTATGACCGCAGAAATGTCTTACATGCAGTGGCTCGATTTGGCTGACCGGATTCCGGTTGGGGATACCACGACACTTCCGCATGAGTAATATGGTATTCACAGCACTTTTGGCTCTTACCTACACCAACACCCAAGTCTTTGCGATTCTTCATACATTAATCATCTTTTATTTACGTATTGCGTGCGCGTTTTTTATATGTTCTGCAAGGAAGTATAGAGGAAGTGAGTGCTTAGGTGTTCATGTAACTGTTCAATCTTCCCCTGACTGAAAACATATTTTCAAGGAGTGAAGATGGAGGAGTTAAAAACGAAGTCGATACATGCAATTATCATGATTGATTATAATGCGTATGTCGACGTGTTTCGTGTGCGTTTCTCTTTGTACTTTGAGGAATCAAGAGGATTGAGGTGTTAAGTTTTCATGTAATTTAAATCTCCCCCTAATAATAAATCATTTTTGAAGGAATTAGGATGGAGGAGTGAGGGTTTGGGGTGGGGGGTTTAGGGTGTTTTATTGGTAGAGGGCTGAGGGCTTAAGGACATAATCATCAAAACTTCCTAATGTTCTTGATGGATTAAGGTGGAGGGTTTAGGTTGGAGGTTTTAGGTGCTGGGACTAACTAGATAATTCACTTATAAGATGTCCCCCCCCCATGAAATAGAAGCATGTTTGTGAAGGATGAAGGTGGAGGAGTAAGGGCTTAAGTACTCATGTAATCATTAAGTTTCCTTAATCATTTATTTGTTTTGAGGGATCAAGGTGGAGGAGTGAGGGTAATATCTTTTTTTGAGATTAGGTGGAGGAGTGAGTGAGGGTTTAAGGCGGAGGGCCAAGGCGTAGGAGTGAGAGCTCAAGTACTCAAGTCCTTCAAGGCATGCTTCTTACTCGGGGGGGATATGTTGCTCGAGTAGTATATGTAACTAGTCCAAGCTTCCGAACCCACCTGAAACCTTCACTTGTCCACCTTAACTCCTTCAAAGATTAGTATCGTATTTGAGTATTATATTTAATTCTTCCAAGCACCCTAGCCCGAAACTCCCACTCCTCCACCTCCTTTAAAACAATACTTAATGAACTCTTTTGGGGGGGAGAATCAGTACTTGCATGAATACTCTTGCCCACACCTCATCTGAACTCTTCTACAGCAGTTTTATTGTTAATGGTTAGTATCGTATTTGATTTAATCCAGCACCCTAAGCCCTCTCCACCCTAAACCCTCCCTTCTCTATCTTAATCAATAAACAGTTTTTTTGGTTTAGGGTTTAGGGTTTAGGGTTTAGGGTTTAGGGGTTTAGGCTCTCACTCACTCCACCCGTAACCCTCACTCCCCCACCTTAATCCGTCAAAACAGAAATTTTTAGGGGTGAAGAATTCGAATTACACGAAGACTTAAGCCCTCACTCCTAAATCTTAGCTCACTATGAAGGGATAATATATTACTTGCGCATTGCGTTGAATGAATCCCAGCACCCTAAACACTCTCCACCCTGCCCCCTCCCACCCTCCATGCCTCTCACAGAGATACTATTTTGGAAAAGTGCTGTGTATTCCTAGAGTTCCCTGAATGCTCTCCCTATATTCTTAGATTCTCAGATTTCCTGGCCCTACATTCCCAGATTCCCAGATTTGCTGGCCCTATGTTCTCACATTCCCAGAATTGCTGGCCCTATTCACAGATTTCCTGGCCCTATGCCCGGATTCCCAGATTTCCTAAACACGGGGTGAGGAAATCTGGAAATCTGGGAATCTGGGAAAATCCGGGAATCTAGGAACATAGGGTGAGAGAATCTGGGAATTTGGAACATGGGGTAAGAAAATTTGGGAAGAACGCGTGATGTTTTGACGATAATTGTGCGAGAGGTAGGTCTTTTGGGGGGGCGGGGGGGGGAAGGGGGGACTCAGCTTTATGGTCACATGTATATATGTGTGTTTTTTTTGCATATGCACCTTTGTGCAGTCCCTATATACCTAAGTAGCCCCTACATTACCCTGACCTCCTATACTTGGAGGCTCACGGTACTTATTAACAGAATAACAACTGTACTTAAAACCCCGGTATAACCATATCAGTCAGTATTAGGTTTATAAGTACGTACCCGAAACCTCCAAGTAGTCCCTTGACTCTCTGTCACGGATGCCTCGCGGTTGACTCTCCGATGGGTGGGCACTCCGGGGATACTTGACGGCCGGAGGATTCTGGGGGGGGGGGGGGGGGGGGTGGGGTGTTTTGGGCATCCAAGAAGACACTCTGCGGGATTCTCGGGGGATTTGGCGCTCGAGACCGGGCGAGGAGTACGTGGTGCGGAGAGTGGCTCAAAGTTTACCAACTCACCACATCTCACCACTGCAAAGTGCGGGAAAGCCAGAAGAACCCTAAATCCCAAACCCTAAACCCCCCACCCATCCTCATGTCGGAAAACCGGGTTGTGGCCAACCCCACCAACTAGCCCATAAGCTTCATAAACAGCGTCGTGGCAGGGGAGGGGAAGTTCCCGCAGCCGCGGCGTGCGATCGGCACATGCTACCCCGAGGATCCGGTTCCTGTGCTGCCGGTTCAAGGCTTGCTTAATTACTTTCGTTTTTGTTGGTTTACGGTTTTGGGTTTGAGGGGCATTGGGGTTGAGGTTTTGTGTGAGAATTGCGTCCCAAGCCCCCAAATTCTGCCCACAAGCAGCCGGGTTTTAAGCGCCAAATGATGCACAACTTCACGGCCCTGAGACGCAAACTACCCCAACTGCAGATCTTTGAGTGCTACACCAAAAGTAGGTACCTTTGCTTATCAATCACGTGTGACTTATGACTTGGGATGTTCCCCCTCATACTAACAGTCCGTCATAGGGATTTTGTACCCGTATTATCCCTATTAAGGACTGTCAGTATAAGGGGGAGCATCCCAACTTATGACTTAATCTTGGCTACGTGGCACCCCAAGCCCAAAACCCTAAGCCGTTTCTTTCATGCGGGGTAGTTCCCTAAGTTTATGCTATGGGCCCCCCAGCAAAAAGGACCCCCCTACAGCACCCTAACTTGGAAAACTGCCTAAACCCTAAACCCTAAACCCATGTAGGGGGGTTTGATCACAGAATGAGCCAGGAGCCTCCGAACGCTGTAAGCCCTGCGGCCTTGTCGCACCCGTTCCTTAAGGAACAGAGGTCTTGGGTTTAGGGTTTAGGGTTTTTGGGTTTAGGGTTTAGGGTTTTGGGGAGAGGTTTTGGGTTCTTAGTAGCTGAATTTAGTTTCATGGGCCTCCAATATAGTCCCTAACCTCCCTTACTGTAAAGGGTTCTGATGTATGGGCCTTCGATTTGTGTAGGGTATATAAGGGGTATATCAGGGGTACCCTTTCTCCCTTAGTAGCTGAATGAGTACACTTCACACTTTTTTGGATATTAGAATCCCCCCACAGGCACGAAATCAAGTCTTTATGAGGGAAGCCCTCAAAGTTTTTGGAAGCACGCATGTAGATAGCGCCGAGTCAAGTCAGAAAAGCGGATCCATAACTCAAATGAAAAGGGATTCTAGGAGAACTTAAAGGAGCCTTGCGAATCGCGGCCCAGGCCAATCGCAAACCCTAAACCCTTAACCCTTAACCCTATACCCTATAAACCCTAAACCCTAAACCCTGAGCCCTGTAGGAGAGCCACCTCGCGGACGGCCGCGCTATTGGCGCAGACGATGTCGTCACCAAGGCGGCAAGGGGGGGGGGGGGGGGGTTGGCGCCCAAGGGGCAGACGATGTCGTCACCAAGGCGGCAAGGGGGGGGGGGGGGGGGTTCGCGCCCAAGGGTCCATGATAAACCCTAAACCCGAAACCCTAAACCCTAAACTCTAAACCCGAAACTAAACCCTAAACCCCTACACAAGGACTTTTTGTTCTGAAGGGGCTTCAGCATTCAACCTAAGTTGCTAAACCCAACCCAGAACCAAGAAGCTCCAAACCCTAAGCCCTGTAAACATCAAGCCCTTGTTGTCTTTTCCTGTCTGGCAGGGGTTTAGGGTTTGGGGTTTACTGCTTGGGGTTAGTTGAAGAGCCTTTTCCTTTCTAGCACCCACCAACGAAGACACCCAACAAACACCATTTTGCGAACCCTAAACCTTAAACCCTGAACCCTGCGTTTGGATTCCTTCACAGAAAAGGCGGGGTTCAGGATTTGCAACGTTCAGCCGCCGGGTCGGAGCAGTGATGTCATGCAGGGCCAATAGCTCAACCCTAAACCCTAAACCCAAAACCCTGAACCCCCAACCGGTAAACCCTAACCTGAAACCCCGACTCGCAATCCAACTGTTGAAAGAATGGGCATCCTGCAAGAGAACCCCGAATCCCAGTGCGAGCTGAAGCACTCCCCCGCCTCACTTCCCTAACCCCTAACCTTCGGTTAGGGTTTAGGGTTTAGGGTTTAGGGTTTAGGGTTTGGGGTTTGGGCTTTAGGGTTTGGGGTTTGGGGTTTGGGGTTGAGGGTTTGGGGTTTGGGGTTTGGGGTTTGGGCTTTAGGGTTTGGGGTTTGGGGTTTGGGGTTGAGGGTTTGGGGTTTGGGGTTTGGGGTTTGCGGTTGAGGTTTGGGGTTTGGGGCTTGGGGTTTGGGGTTTAGGGTTCCCTAAACTCCTACACCGAAACTCCTAAACCCCTATATAGACCCTAAACCCTCCAGCCTGAAGGAGCAAGTCCGTGCCCACTTTGTCTCAAGAGTCCACATGTCGATGTAGCCTAGTGGTTACCCAAAAACAGAGTTCAGGGGTTTAGGGTCTAAACTTTAGTCTAAACCCTAAACCCTAAACCCTAAACCCTAAACCCTAACCCCTAAATGCCTAGTGGTTCTTGGAACTTGGTACAGGGGACTAGGGAATTAGCCTCGCCAGGTGGCGTAGACTGGGATTAGCATCGTAGCCGACTAGGTAACCTTTAACCATGATGGGTATGTATTATATATATATATATATAATCCTACCATAATTGAAAGGTTCACCTTTTTGGGCCCAGGGTACTCAGCAACTAGGTTAGGGTTAGGGCTAGGGTTAGGGTTAGGGTTAAGCCTATGTAGACCCTAAACCCTAAACCCAAGAACCCGCAGGATCGCCTTACAATCAGTTCCCGAAGCCTAACAGAAAGCAACCCATGGCCGCCTCAAGCTGGGCCAATGAGCTCAAAATGTTGGGATGTTCCCCCTGAAACTAACAATCCATAGTATTGGTAAGAGTACCCCCTATGATCCCTATGATACCCTAAACCCTAAACCTTATTAAGGAGTGTTAGTATAAGGGGAACATCCCTAACTGAATGGGTTTCGGAAGTCAGAGCTCTAGGGCTTTTGACAGCTTCGGGGCTTGCGAAATCAGAGGGCCTTTGAGGGCTTGTGGGGGTGTAGGCTAGAAACCCTAGAGACCCTAGCGACTCTACAAACCCCGCAAACCGTAGCTACCCCCAAAACCCGAATTAAAATAAACCCTATAAACCCTATGAACCTAAATGCAACCCTATAACCCCTAAAATGAAACTCTGTAAACCCTAAAATGAAACCCTAAACCCGAAACCCTAAACCCTAAACCCTAAACCCTAAACCCTTGGGAATCAGAGTTCTAGTGCTTCTGACAGCTCCATGGTTTTGGGGTTCGCAGGCCGGCGCAGCCGCCTCCAGGCAGTGCACGTCACGGGAGAGGTTTAGGGTTTAGGGTTTAGGGTTTAGGGTTTAGGGTTAGGGTTTAGGGTTTAGGGTTTAGGGTTTAGATTTAGGGTTTAGGGTTTAGGGTTTAGGGTTAGGGTTCAGGGTTCAGGGTTCAGGTTTCAGGGTTCAGGGTTCAGGGTTCAGGGTCTAGGGTCTAGGGTTTAGGGTTTAGGGTTTAGGGTTTAGGGTTTAGGGTCACCGAGACCCGCCTCGACCTCCCGAGTACCTTCTTTTTTTACAGCCCAGTGGTACCCTTTACCCTGTTTTGGTTCAAGGTTCCCTTCAGGTAACCAACCCCAAAAAAAGGGGGTGCCCTCATGATAAGATGGTTACTGGGCTACCAAGACTGGCCAAACCGTAACCCCTCGTTTTGTGTTGCCCTAAGGTTTCATGCCAGAAAGTATATATTTGGGCCCCTAAGCTACTATATGGGAATCCCTAGGAGAAGGCCCAAGTATATACTCTAGAGGTACATGGACCCTGAGGGTTAGCCATCGTAGGCCAATTGTCATGGGTGCTATTGGGGGTCCTAAACCCTAAACCCTAAACCCTAAACCCTAAACCCTAAACGAAGGGATGGGGTTTAGGCTTCAGGTTATATTAAACCCCTCCCAGATCTGCCACACACGTTCATTCTTGTGCTTTTCGTTGCTCCATCCCAGCGCTGCTGCCCAGGAATCGGCTCCCAGTCTACCTAAACCCTAAACCCTGAACCCTAAACCCTAAACCCTGAACCCTAAACCCTAAACCCTAAACCCTAAACCCTAAACCCTAAACCCTAAACCTTCCGAGGTTGGCGTCTTTAGGCGGCAAAGCAACCCTAGACCCTACTCAGAAGCTCTTTTGACTTAGTAAGTCTACTTGGTACCCCTTAGAAACTCTATCCCATTCCCCATAGCCCAGCTTACTAACCCTACGTACTAAGTCAAAAGAGCTTCCAAGTACAAGCTCCGTACCCTAGCCTTTGAGCACGGATTGCTCCATTAGGATGAGCATGCAGTGTCACAGACGTGGCATTTGGGGTTTTAGGCTGTAAGTTCAATTTGCTAGGGTTCACGTACTTGGCCACGAAACGTTGCCTTCCTCCCTAGCGGCCAGAACCCGAAATAAACACTTGGAAGTCCTTTGACTTCATAAGTTGACTTTCGTAACCCCTAGAAACCCTATTGTAGTCCCCACAACCCACCTTAGGGTTTAGGGTTTAGGGTCGAGGTTTAGGGACCTTGCTCCCCCCCCCCCCCGAGCCCCCCAAAACCCACGAGCCCCCTGCTCTCCAGGCCCTAAACCCTGTAGGGCGTCTCCATTGACCTGCAGGCCCAGTCCGTCGGAACTCTGCACAGGCCTTGGGACGCAGACCCTAAACCCTAAACCCTAAACCCTAAACCCTAAACCCTAAACCCTAAACCCTAAACCCTAAACCCTAAACCCTAAACCGCGTTTTCGGGTTTGGGGTTTTGGGGTTTTTTAGGGGTTTTGAGGGTTGAGGGGTCAGGCTTGGAGAGGATTTGAGGGAATGAAGAACGGCCACGTGGGTCGACTCTTGGGTGCTCCGATTTCCATACGGAAGGTTTAGGGTTTAGGGTTTAGGGTTTAGGGTTTAGGGTTTAGGGTTTAGGGTTTAGGGTTTAGGGTTTAGGGTTTAGGGTTTAGGGTTTAGGGTTATGTACCTGAATAGGCTAATACTTGTGCCTTCAAGTGCCTCCTGTAGAAGGACTTTGGGGCCCAAGTATATGAGAATGAGGTACGTGGACCCCTAGGGTTTAGGGTTTAGGATGTATGAGGGTTTTGGGGTTTAGGGTTTAGGGTACTTAGACGCAAGAAGGGCCACCATCTAGAGAATTAAACCCCAGAAGCCGTAGAGGAAAGCTTGCCAGAATCGATGCCACTTTGGGGTCAGGGGGCTCTCAACCCTAAGCCCTAAACCCTAAACCCTAAACCCCAAACCCTAGACCCTAAACCGAAGCAAGCCACAAAAGAGGAGGAGACGACGGCCGATTCAACCTTGCGGTTTAGGTCTCAGGGGTTTGGCTTCAGGATTTCGTTCCTGTTAACGATAGCCCTGTGGTCCAATTTTGCCGTTTATTTGTGTTTTAGGTTCCCTCGCAACGTAACCGCAACTGGGCTACCAAGATATACAGCAAAATGCTATAGTTAAGTTGACATAGTAAGGTTACATGGGGTTTACTAATTAGGGGACCCTTCAAATAGAACCCAAATGGCAGGATTCCCTTATTATAAGAACCCCAATAAGGTACCCCAATTTCGGAAACCACCATATCGCGAAATGCTTACCCTTACTACAACATGGCTACCAAGTTATACAGCAAAATGCTATGGTACATCATCGTACCCTTTCGGTAGCTGAGCCCTGAGCCCGGCAATGCCCCCCTTGTTCATCCCCTGAATCCCAGCAACTCCTTGGCCCCTTAGGGTTTAGGTTAGGGTTTAGGGCTCAGGGCTTAGGGTTTAGGGTTCAGGTTTGAGCGTTTGCTTTTTTTTCAGGACCGAACCGGAACGTCCCGTTTGAACGAGCGACTGTCCCGTCAGGCAGGGCTTTGATCACCCTCCGCCCCTTCCCCCCAACCCTAAACCCCAAGCCCAAACTGTGGGGTAGGGGGTGTGGTGGCATAGTGGAGCATGCACACACACACACACATATATATATATATATACAGATATATATCTATCTATCCATCTATCTATACATATATATATATATATATATATAAAGATATATATGCATACAGAAATACATATATATATATAGACGCATATATGTATATGTTCATATGTATCTATGTCTATATCTATATCTATATCGATATCTGTCTCGATATCGATATCTATATCTATATCTATATATCCTATATCCCATATATGTATGTGTGTATATATATATGTGTATATATATATATATATATATATGTGGGGGGGTGTTATCCCTCAGCCGCAGTTTCGGTTTCTCCAAGCGAAACACGAGTCGGAGAAGGCCTTACAGGTCCTATGCAAGGGTTCAGGGTTTATGACTCATGGGGAATTTCGGGTTTATGATTTATGGCAATGCGGGATTCTGGGTTCAGGGCTTCTTACTGAACATTGCAGTTGCTTACGGGGGTCGGGAGGTTTAGGTTGGGATGTTCCCCCCCCCCCCCCCCCCCCCAATACGAACAGTCCTTAACGGGGATTATAATGGCGGCTACTATAGTCCCTATTAAGGACTGTTAGGATAAGGGTGAGCATCCCAAGGTTCAGGGCTTGTAGGGCTGAGTCTGGGAGGGTTTGCCTCGGGAATGCTAGTGGTGCAGGGCTGCTGGTGGTCTACACCTACACTGTGGGTTGAGGATTTCCTCGTACCCCCTCCCTTCCAGGTTGGGATCGACAACCCTGTGCTGCTGCAATCAAATCCCTAGACTTAGGGTGTATGGACCATATCTATATGTATATATATATATAAACATGCGCCGTCATAGGGTTCATGTAGCCTGCAAGGTGCATGTGTGTGTGTGTGTGCTGGACATGTCAGCGCAGTCCCATTGAAGTAAACACTTATAAGGGCCGTTTATTCCACGCCATGACGGTTTAGGGTTTATAGGGTTTAGGGTTTTGTGGTTTGAACCCTAAACCCTAAACCCTAGTATGATAAAGCATAGAAAATCAATTCTCCCAAATTGCCCTCAGCACCCAACCAACCCTCTCAACCTAAACCCCAAACCCGAAACCCCAAACCCCTCCCAAACCCTAAACCCCAAAGCCCTCTGAGCCCTCTCAACCCGAAGCCCTCTTCCTAAACCCTAAACCCCAAAACCCTAAACCCTAAACCCCCAAACCCTAAACCCCAAACCCTAAACCCAAAACCCAAAACCCTGAACCCTATTTTTTCCTCAACGAAGCGAAGGTGGCCAGGGTCTCCGTCGCTCTGGAAGCATCCCGGGCCGCCGGAAGGGGCCGAGGCAACACCCCTACAACGAGCCCCACGTTTAGGCTTTGGGGTTTAGGGTTTAGGGTTTAGGGTTTAGGAAACCCTAAACCCTAAACTCCCCCAAGGATCTAGCTTGGGGTTTGGGGTTTCGGGCTTAGGGCTTAGGGTAGGAAACTCTCAGCCCTGAGCGGGTTTAGAGATTTTACAGGGTTTATAGGGTTTGTAGGGTTTATCGGGTTTTTCGGGTTCATAGGGTTTATAGGGCTTAAAGGGTTTTTAGTTTACAGGGCTTCTGGTGTTTATGGGGCTAATAGGGTTTATGGAGTTTGAGGGTTTTTGGGGTTTGAGTTTGTAGAGTTTGTGGGTTGAGAGGGGTTTATTAGTCGCAAGCAGAGATGGATTTCGGCTTGCGACTTCGGCCAGTAGGAGCTGACTTAAATCAAGCGCTCGTGTCCACGGTGTATCGTTTGGAGTGTAGGGTTCGGGCAACGTTGCATGTTGATGAGAACAGGTGCTCGTATGCAAGGATTGGTAACAAGGTATTCGAGGTTACTCTAGGCAGAGTTTAGGAGCCTTTCAGCCCCTAGTGCAGAAAAAGCACGCACACCCTAAACCCGAAATCCAAAAGCCACTCGTCGCCTGAGATCCCATCGCTTTGCATCCCGCACCAAACCAAGCAGCGTGGAACAGTGCACCATGGCCGAAGTCTCCCTTCACCCCCCAAAAGGATTCCGAAACCCTAGCCACCAAATTCAGGGTTTCGGGTTTAGGGTTAGAGGCCCTAAACCCGAAACCCGAAACCCTTAACCCTAAACCCTAAACCCTAAACCCTAAACCCTAAACCCTTCCAGGAGAGGCGGCCCAAGGAAGCTTGAAATCTACAGGGGGCCCAAATCTGTAACAAGAAGGGGTGGTGGCACCTTGCTATATGGGTGGGGTTTAGGGTTTAGGGTTTAGGGTCTAGGGGTGGTCCCTTTTTGGATCCCTATTATAATACGGCATCTAATATCTAGGGTACCCCAAAAGGGACCACAATTTTGACATCCACCCATATAGAAGACTGTTCATGGTACTTAGTATCCCAAGTACCTTGAACCCAATCCCTAAGGGTCCATGTACCCATATAGTATATATTTGGGCCCTACAGCTACTATATGGGAACCCCTTTAAGGCCCAAGTATGTACTATATAGGTACATGGGCGCTTAGGGATTGCTATATAGAAGGCTGTTCATGGTACGTAGTAACCCAATTTTTAACTGCACCAAGAACCCAATTATAACCCCTCCCCCCACGAACAGCTTGCGTAGCAAAGCATGCCCTGACCAGGAAGTTCCTTGCAGGGGCGGCTGCCGCCACGCGAGTTCCACGAAGTGGCAGCCCTAGTAAAACCTTACTTGTAGGGTTTAGGGGTTGATATGTGTTTGGGGGGGTTTAGGGGTTAGGTTTAAGGATCTAGGGTTTAGGGTCTACGGAAACCCCGAACCCCAAAACCGAAATCCTTTAATCTTAAGGTCGGTTAGCATAAGTACAGGCCTGGGGAACGTCATTGACCTACTATTTGCTCAAGAACCCTCCCAAACAAATCAAGAGCAGTAGTCCCTATATAGCCCTTGTAAGGAAGATCATTTTTTAAGAACAGTTTTGGAGCAAACAATAGTGACTGTGGCTGTTCTAAATCTTGGTAGCCTGGTGGTACCCTTTTGTCCTTTCGTTGGTTCAACCTGAACCAGCCCCCCAGTTTCCTGGGCTACCAAGAAATCAGGGTTTGTGGCTTAAGGGTTTAAGGGTTGAGATGTTAGGGCTCCATGGTTCAAGGCTTTTGCTGGTTTAGGGTTTAGGGTTTAGGGTTTAGGGTTTAGGGTTTAGGGTTTAGGGTTTAGGGTTTGTGGCTTAGAGTTGTATGCTTCAAGTTCCTTTTCTTGCCGTGATTTTCACATCCAAAGTGGTATTCGGTCCATAGGGTTCTCCCGCAACCCACTGTCTAAGGGTAGTTATCTGGTCCCTTCATGTGGTCCCTTGCCTTTTTTAAAGGGTTCTGAAATATGGGCCCTCGATTTTCATAATTTATAGAAGGCAGATGTAGCAGGTCCCCTGTTAAGGGCCCAGAGGAAGGGACCATGCAACTACCCTTAGACGCTGCTGACCAGGAGGTGAAGGGGGGCAACTTGCACCATTTACAGAGGTCGTCATCTCATTGTTTGAGTTCGATCCCCGGCTGTCTTTCAAGAAGTACGCCGGGCTTGCCCTTGCCAGCGAAGGTTGCGGGCTCCCGCAGTCGCCTGGACCTGAAAGTTTCGCAGCGTGCTGGCCTCTGGCCACGAAGAAGTTGCAAGCGCGCTTGTGATGGCTCCTCTGCCCTGCAGAAGTGTGCGACTGGAAAGAAGAGATCATGTGCCGCAGGCGTGTCGCATCCCAAGAGACTCCAAAACCCCTTAATTAAGGAACATGCCTTAAATTATAATAGGAGCCCGAATATGATTTAAGGTATATTCCTTAATTAAGGGGTTTTTGGAGTCTCTGGGTCTCAAGAATGTCTTCATATGCCTTCGTCGGTCATCTCTAAGGCGGGTTTTGTCAGCTCAGGCTGCGACTGTTCTGCGAAACCTGAAATCTCAGGGGGGCTGTGGTTTAGGGTTTAGGGTTTAGGGTTTAGGGTTTAGGGTTAAGGGTTTAGGGTTTAGGTTGAGGGACTCGGCAGGACTTCTCGCAAATCGTGTGGTCACGTGGCAAAAAAGCAAGAAGCGCCTCAATGGCAGCTAGCTTGATGCATTTTGCGATCACAGGCCAGTGTGCCGAGGCCTTGGCTAGTGCCGGGAAGAAGCAGCTGAGAAGAACGGATCTCTTGCAAGGTCGTCCGGGCGCGCATGAGCGAGTCCTTCTTAGGGCGTTTGATGTTTAATAAGTTCTTGCATTGCCTACAGGAGGGCCATCACTTTGAACCGCCCGGCGAAGGTTTAAATTAAAACACGTCTAGCTCGGCCCTGAGCTAAAACACTCCTAGGGCCCCAGGGCTCAGCATTCTAGAGCAGGGCTTCCCTCCTTTCTGTTCCATCAAAGCATTTAGCACCCTAAGCATCCTAAATCCCCGAAGAGCCCGAAATCATGCCTTTTGTAGGCGATAAACAGAGCCTCCCCAAGCATTTACGTTTTGTAGGTTGCATCTTATTTCTTTAACTCAGCCTTAGCCACTAAACCCGCAACCCGTAAACCCCAAACCATGCAACCAAAAGCCCTAAAACCCTCCCATTAACCCTAAGCCCTTTAAGCCTTAACCCTTTTAACCCTCTCCCTTTAACCCGAAACCCTTTAACCCTAAACCCTTTAACTCTTAACCCTTTAACCCTAACCCTGAACCCTAAACCCTAAACCCTAAACCCCAAACCCTAAACCCTAAACCCACCCTTCATGGGTCTTGCGCAGAAACTATAACACATGAGCCGCGTGAAACGTGAGGTTGCGGAGTCGGAGATCTCCCTGGTCCAGCTCACCGCAGGCTGTCGGCTTTAGGGTTTAGCGCCTTAGGCCTTAGGCCATTTAGGGTTTAGGCCTTAGGCCTTAGGCCTTAGGGTTTAGGGCCTTTAGGGCCTTTAGGGCCTTTAGGGCCTTTAGGGCCTTTAGGGTTTAGGGCTTAGGGTTTAGGGCGTGCATCAGTGCGGGCGCGCGGGGAGCGCGCCTTTCTCTAGATTTAGGGGCGTGCGGCTGCCGGGGGGGGAGGGGGACGCAACGCGGCATCGAGCGACAGCACCTTTCTGGCATTGGGAGCACGTGACACGACCTGAAATGGAGTCAACACCAGCAACGGTCGTAGGAGAAGACTTCCGGTAGATTTCCTAAACAGAAAACTACTACTTGCTTAAGAACCCCCCCCCCCCAAAAAAAAAAAAAAGACTCAGAATAGGTATTCTTCCTCATACGGGGCAATATAGGGATTATGATGTTTTTTAGTTTTGGGGTTCTTAAGCAAATAGTAGAAAATCCTACGCCCTACACTACACAGCCTTCAACTTTGCCAACCTCTCTGCGAAATGCTTTCCGGCATGAGTACAGAGCCCTGAGGCAGCAAGCCGACCCTAAATCCTAAGCCCTAAGCCCTAAACCCCAAACCCCAAACCCCAAACCCCAAACCCCAAACCCCAAACCCTAAACCCTAAACCCTAAACCCTAATTAAACCCTAAACCCTAAACCCCAAACCCTAAACCCCAAACCCTAAACCCTACACCACCCCAGCGCCCAGCACAAACACTCAACTCGGCCTTTTGCTCGCCTTTCAGGCTTCCGCCGCGATGCAGCACGCGAGTCGCCCGTGCAGGCGCTGAACCCTAAACCCTAAACCCTAAACCCTAAACCCTAAACCCTAAACCCTAAACCCTAAACCCTAAACCCTAAACCCTAAACCCTAAACCCTAAACCCGCACCAAGTAAACAGTACCTAGACACAGAAAGTTCTGAACGGACAT